TGGAGATGTCCCTGGAAAAAAGTCCCATGGAAAACACATCCTACGCCCCGTGCTCAAATGAAGTACACAGCCACGCCTTCTCTTTCCGAGATGGTGCGTACTTCGGTTCAACATGCAAGTGAGGAACTCAAAGGCTGGGCTTAAGCTTTACGTTCAAACTGCAGCATTGTCGTTTGAGCGCTGAGCTTAAACCAGCCAACCAGTATAGCCAAGCAGCTAAGTGAAGTCCCCGCGAACTCTGTCATCAAAGTTCACTCTCAATGGTAGCGCATATGCGTGTAGCCTGAACTTAGACGTTCACCCTGCTTTTTCTGCTATTTTGTAAGATTGTGCTGTTTGTAGGAGGAGTTGAACTGAAGGCATTGGCTGGAGAAGCTCTTGGTCAAATGGTGTCTGTATCTGATGTATCAGCTCTGAAAGCTCACGTAGTCAACATTACCGGTCCACTAGTTCGAGTACTTGGAGATCGTTATCCAGCCAATGTTAAGCTAGCGGTTCTTGAAACGCTAAGCAAACTTCTTGACAAGGTTGGTTGTCCTTTCATTCCGCAATGTTTTACTGGGCTTTCTAATTACTGAACAGGAAGCCCGTTCAGTAATTAGAAAGCCCACTAAATTCCAGGAGGGTTAAGGTAGTCTTAATGAAAGTGGTCATTGAAGGTTGACACATTGCTCCGGCCGTTCCTGCCTCAGCTGCAATCGACGTTTCTTAAAGCGTTACAGGATCCATCATCTCGTCCTGTGCGACTTGTTGCTGGAGGTTTGGGGACTGTCAAATGTCACTCTGACTTTCACTTTATTGATAGGCCTAACGATTGATTTTCAGGTGCTCTTGCACGCCTTCTGCGCATTCATTTGAAGCCAGAACCGCTTGTCACCGAAATCCTGAAAATGCTAGCTCATTCTCAGGACCAAGCACTCTTGTAAGGAAAGTTCCATATTGATTTTCAAATGAGAAACGAGAACAGCATACCCTTTACCGGGCGATAATAGTCATTTGTATGAAATGTACTGAAAGATGAGGAACAGAATTAGGGGGATGGGGGTGTGGTGGGGAAACGAATGCTGGATATGATTCGCTTTATTTGGGAATGTTCCTAGTCTTAACCAGTTCAGCAATGGTTTTCCCCTTTCTGACCTGTTGTAGCGACGTGAGTATTGATGGGTACAGCATACGGTATTCAGTCCCCTTTGAGAGATGTTACCCATTCGAATTCCATACAGGATCATAACGACATTCCTAGGCATAACTGGCCCATGCGCTAACTTGCAAGCAGCAAATGTATAGTGTCCGTATCACTGCACCCGGAGAGGGCGTGTCCACGGACTATTTTGTGAGCGCGACGGATGCTGCGTAATTGTAGAAGTTTTACAGGTTCGGAGCGGAGGGAGCAGAGTCGCTGAGCCACCTGCGCTATTGTACTTACTCTGTTTAAGTCTCGGTCATTTCTGGACGGCAAAGCCCAACAGCTAGGCAGGTGCCGCA